CATTCCGCTGCATCTCCGTCCATTTCGGTCAAGAAGGGGTCATCCTTGACTCTTCAGGATCCAAGATACCCAATACGACTATGCACAGTCACACTGACCTCCCTAACCAGTCCAGCTGCCCTGGAACTGGCTGTCATTAGGGGTGTTTTGCGCTCAGGAAACTCTAATCTTTGCACTCGGCGAGGTCCTTGCGCCAGCGGGTGATCATTGCTCAGCGTCCGGGTCGCCGTGGCGACGATACACCTCGGCTACGATTTAGTAAACTGATCGGTGTGACTCACGAGCGTTTCGAAATTTACCCGAACAGCCCTCGCTAATCATATCGATGGTTAACGAAGTTTTGAGTACGGGGGAATCCCCAAAGAATTCCCGGATCCAAAGAGAAGAATGAAGAGATGATAAAAAGGGAGAGAGAAAAAGAGAGTGTCATATTATCTCCTCGCTCTAGTGTTCTCCAATTGATCTTTACGACAGCGTTTTAACATATTTGACTTTTGGCTATTCTCACTGGAATATTTGGCAACCGCCTTGGAACGGAAAGGGGGAGCAGAGTTAGAGGACACCCTATGCAACAAGGGATTCCCGAGGTGCGAAATCATCCTTTCATTCAAAGAACTGCTCCACCCTAGGTGGAGCTTTTTTCCTCCCCATCTGGGCAGGTAGTGCTGTTAGGGCAAATTTTCGCAAATTACACCCCCTCCTCGCCTCCATACCCCTAGCGACCAACAAGCAAATACGAACCCCTAGCTGAGGACCCCCAACGACGACCCCATGTCTCCGCGAACGTGGCCTGTACCCCACTAGGTAGCACGAGTTTTCCCACGGGGAGCCCTTTGAATGCTCCACCTCTCATCGAGGAGACATAGCCAAATGTTTTGTTAGAGGCTTGAAATTCTTCAGATGCTAGACTCTGGGGTTTTTTCGAGACAGGCTGTAAATGAAAAAGGCAAATGAATAATAGAGAAAAGGAAAGCAATAGGAAAAGTAAATGAAAACGAACCAACTGAACGACGCTGGCTTTTGGCGCGTCCTCTTTCCTGAAAAAAAACAGATAATTAATCATTTTCATGTCTTTTGGGCCAAATGTTATCGTTCCTATCTCCTCCGGGCTAAATTGTTCCCTAATGTTCGCTTATTGAACAGAACACCTTTGAGGGGTTTTT